TGACCGGGGGAGTGGTCCCCAACTCGTCCCAAGTCATTGGCATTCACCCTTCCAGGCCTCATATTCTCCTTTGTCCCCGGAATACAGCACAGCAAAGGTATTCTCCCTCCCCGGACACGCGGCAGCGGATCATGAAGAGGGGGTAAGTGGGCGGGCAAAAAGGGTAGTGTTCTGCTTAAACCAAGACCCCCCACCCTCATAGGTTTCTTCACCTCCTCCCACCTAATTAAATGATATTTTCTATTCCCCTTCTCATCTCCCCAAAGAAATCTGCATTGAATATTTTCAAGCTTCTTTGCAATGCTAGCTGCAATGGTTAAAATAGAAAGGTAATATATCGGTAGATTGGCCAACGTACTTTTAATCAAGGTAAGTCTACCCCTTTCAGAGAGAAAATTCATCTTCCACTCTGCTAACTTTTTTTCTAATCACTCCACAATAGGCTCCCAAGTTTTCCTATCTTTAAATTTTGCCTTAAGAGGAACACCAAAATATTTAATAGGGAGTGTCGTTGTCTTACAACCCAACACCAAAGCCAATCTCTCCTCATCCCTCCTATCACCGATTCTAACCATTTCCGTCTTTCTCATATTTATTTTGAGACTGGACACCATTTAAAAACAAAGAAGAATGCATCTCAAGTGAAGTAAAGCATTGACAGTAGGTTCACAAAAAATAAGGGTATCATCCGCAAAAAATAAATGAGAGATCTTGACACTTTCTTCCCCCCTTCCCACAGCCACACCATTCAATAACTTCAACTCCCCTGCTTTCTCAATGAGTCTATTAAAAGCCTTCATAATAGTGAGGAAAAGTAATGGCGGCAACAGATCCCCTTGGCGTAGCCCTCTAGATGCTTTAAAGAAATTTGAAGGGCCCCCATTAACCATAACCGTAAATGAAGTAGTGGAAATACATTTCATGACCCAAGTCCGCCATTTGCACCCAAAACTCATTCTCCTAAGCATATAATCCACAAAATCCCAACAAACATGATCATATGCTTTTTCCATATCAATTTTACACAAAATGCCCTCTTTTTTCAGCCCCACCAACTCATCCACCAATTCACTAGCAATCATCACAGCATCAAGGATTTGTCCACCCTCCACAAATGCATTTTGGCTCTTGCCAATCACCTCACCTAACACCTTAGAGAGTCTCTTTGTTAGAACTTTTGAAATCAATTTGTAGATACTCCTCACCAAGCTAATCGGTCTATATTTTTTAATATCTTTCGCACCCACCACCTTCGGAATAAGAATCAAGAAAGTCGAATTTATAGAGTTGACAAAAGACTCTGCCCTATGAAAATCATTGAAAACAGCAAGCACATCTTTCTTTATCACATCCCAAAAGACTTGGTAGAATTTCATATTGAAACCATCCGGGTCGGGCGC